TTTAGTACTCACTTAAGTTCCATTGGACTTTATCCATCTTAGTTATTGCTGCTATGTTCTTACGCTATTTGAAAAGACAGAAGAGGAAGAGAAAAACACAATGAAAGCTTCAGTCTTGGAAAGTACTGAGTTCTCTTTCAAATAAAACAAATCATTCCCCCACATAATCCCCTGCTTTCCCCTGAAACAATGCATATTAGCCTTAATATCTGAATTTGATTTAAACAAATGTCACCTATCTGTTTATCTGTCACAGTCCTCAAGTGTGTCGCGACAATTTTCCTCTCGCCACTTTGTTTTCTCTCGCTCTTCCTTTTCATCAGTGTGCTTGCTGCTGTGTGTGGGTGTGTCTACATACCTTACAGGGGCAGGATCCTGCTGGGATATCAGCCCTATCCTGGATGCACCTGGTTCAGTCAAGCACTTGTGCTCTAACTGCGGAGTGTGCGTCACTTGGTGGAGATGAGAGATTCTGTTCAGGAGAAGCAGAGGACTCTGATTCATGGGACCTCCCTTCTGTTGAATTTCTAAATAATGGACTTTTTAACTGACAACCTCAGAAAGATTTTGTAAATAGCACATCTCACACTTACACTGTAAATAAACTCACTAAACTAAACTTGCATCTTTAAGTCCTGAATTTGAGTCAGATGATTCATGACTCTATGTATCAAGTAAGTATAATAAATTCTTACCCGTTAGGAGCATAAACATCACATGCACAGTTGGAGTCACTTGAGGTGAACAAGCATCTTATGTGCTTTCATTCATCTGGAAACGTTTACCTAGTTAACTGCATCCAGACACGAATCAGTTGGACTTGACAAACTGGTTAGATCAAGTCATCGAGTCAACAATCATCCATCAGGTCAACGGTTAATTAAAGTCAAAATAACTGTGCCACAAATGAAGTGAAAGTAAAGCAAACCTATATTTCTTTGATTGTTTAATCCAGGATTTTATGTGGTAACCATTTCATTTCATTTTTCATTTCATTTAATTGTCATTCACTGTATCACATGTGCTGTGGTTTCCAGATGAAGGCGTGACAAGTATATTTTTATATATTTTTATATATTTTTATATATTTTTATATATTTTTATTGTTGCGCCATTTTGTAATTTCCAGTGGAATTTTCAAATTTTATTTTATGGTGAGATTTGAAGGCAAACTTACAAAATAAAGATTATTAAAAATATATCACCCAAATAAACAAAAAAAACCCCAAAAAACTAGGATGCTCCACAAAAAAGGGCATCAGGTTGCAATAAAAAGTAGAGGATGCATAAAACAGAGGACTAAACTTTATTACCATACGAAAAAGGAATTTGGTTAATGCAGGACACATTATCTACTTACTATACTTA